GCTTGTCTCTGTCAGGGTCTGAATTGAAATGGTTTTGATCCGTCGAACCACCCTCTATTCCATGCTTAGGCTCAACCCGTTGAGACAAGATACTCTTATCAAAAACCAGTGCGCACTTTGAGGAGAATCGACTTCGGTGGTTGGTCAGACATAATTCATTGAACAATTAATTCGTCTGAAGGAACCAGAAATTAGGGACATTATATCAACGAAAAATGTTTCACTTAGACGATATATCGGCGTATTTGACAGAAACACGGTATCTTCAATTGTAGATTTTGAATGCGATAATTTTATTGAACAGTCAATCTTTGTTCTTTATCGTTAATTTTAGTCTCATAACATTTTTTCATATGTTATTGAAACTTTTTTCCAGGCACATAATGAGGCAATTGTTTGAAGCAGTCGACGAAATTCACAGCAAAAATATCGTGCATCGTGATTTGAAAGTAAATCAAAAATTTCTCGTATATCGGTATTTACGTAGTTTTTTAACCTCTCTAGCCGGAAAATATATTAATGGTGGACGACGATACAATCAAAGTTACCGATTTTGGCTTCGCTTACTGCCTCAAACCACAGGAAAAGTTGTTTGGTATATTTTTTATATATTCACTTCTGTGTGGCTTTATAAGTACATAAGAACTCTATTAATTCCAGGTGCAAAATGTTATCGTTGCAGAATGTTTGAGGCTGTAATAATAAATTCATATATCTCCGCTAAAGTGAATCATAAAGTATGAAGATATTAAAATAATAAATCAGAAGATGGACTGTGTTGTTTTACGTTAGCAGTCATACTGCAGTACATATTGAGCAGATGCAAAAATGACTCAGGTACTGATTCTCACTCCTGTTGACTTCTCGACCTGTAGTTTACGGGTCTTCTTCACAGTATAGCTAATGGTCTTCGGTTGGTACTTATGCTGTCTTCTGAGATAGCAGGCTGGCGTGGAAGCGCCTTATTATTTAATTTACATTTAGAAGAACGATTTTTTGATAAACCTTCTGGGAACAACGTTAACTGAGTTTCTTCTTGATCCCGCATACAGAAAAGTTCGGCTTACAGCGTGCTGCTGTACTTAGGTGGTTCAGTGTTAATGATGAAGTTTTCGGTTTCTCATTCATATCTATACAAAGATGGTATGATAGGAAATTTTTGATTTCGGGCCCATTGCTTTAGTTATAAAGAATTTTTCTGATCTACGATCAAGTCCTTGTGCGGCGGGGATACTGCCGATGTAATAGCGAAACGCGTCGGCATTGAAAGCTATACTGTCAGCAAATTCGCTACATTTATACCATGTTAACAATAAAAATGGTAAGGAGCACTTTTGGAAGATAAAAAAATGTTTTTTACGGAAAGTTGCCCTTCTGCTGCAAACAAAATTTTTTCCATCAGTGTCTGCTCCCAGTGCTAGCCTATGGGGGCGAAATCTGGACACTAAGCCTGAAAGCTGTTCATAAACTGCATATTACACAACACAGTATGGAAAGGTGCATGTTGGGACAAGAAGAAAAGATGGGAGAACGAATGAATGGATAAGAACGTATGCAAGAGTCTGCGATGTCGTTGCCCAAGTGAAGAAGTTAAAGTGGCAATGGGTGGACCTGTTGCAAGAAGCATTGTTTATCGCTGGGCCAGTAAGACATTAAAATGGATTTCAAAAGAAGGTCAGCGACCGGTAGGAATGCCTCCAGTTCGATGTCAGGATCAGCTGAAGAAATTCGTTGTATCAAGATGGATAAAACGAGCAGAAAATAGAATTCCTTGTCAAGGTCTTGGAGAGGCCTTCCTGCAGCAGTGGATTGAAAAAGATAACTGATTATGGTAATCATTTTAGCGTTGGATTTTAGCATATCATTTTTCCGTTGGACACCGGTAGAAACAGTGCTCTACCGTCCTTTTATCTGCGTTTGTAGTTGGCTCAGTCGATTGGTAATGAAAGTCGAAGTTGGAAGATAAAGGATTGAAATCCTTACTGAGTCGTTTGCTTTTCTACTACAAGTAAATGAATTCTGGTATTGAATTATCTGTTTGTCTGAAATAGATATATGGGCACTGTTGTGTAGCAAAAATACGAGAATATGTGGTGTAGGAACCGCGTAGCCGTAAATGGCATCATAACTAAGATTAGTTCCACTGTAGACTCTATGGAAAAGGGTTATTACAAATACGCTCATCTTATTATTGTCATGTTAGGCGGCCATTTTTATGATTTGTATCAGATCTTTAATGCTGCCATGATAACTAATGGATGCACTGTAATGAACTTGGCTTCGTATGCAATCTTGTAATTTGATCGTTGCCGTCTTTTATGACATGAATGTAAGGTTCTATTTAGGGGGCCAACTAATTCCGACTACTGAACTGCTTCTCATATAAAGTGTGATCTAAATTATGACAAAATTGCATGACGCTGATGAATTTAGATTTGTGCGGAACGCCAGGATACCTGGCACCGGAAGTGTTGAAAACAAGCATGTATGAAGATGAACGCGGCTATGGCTTAGAAGTTGACCTTTGGGCCTGCGGAGTTATTATGTACACGCTGTAGGTGATAACTTTAATATTTTGTCTATTAATGTTTCCGTGTTTTGTGCCACCACAATTTACCTACGTCTCGTTAAATTGTCCAAATCACTACATTTCTGTGTTGGTAAAGTGTGCTCCGTGAGGCGCTGTCATCCACCGTTTAGAGAAAATGCTCCTCCTTGCCTTCTTGATCCTAGTTTTCCCGCCGGTATTTGTACTTTGCGGTGACAGTATCCTTCAGATAGCCAGATTTGTTTAAAAGACACTCAGAGAAATACCGGTTACGTTATTCTGTCACGGGTCCATTCAGCTGTTTCAGGGTTCATTGCGACCAACCATGGCTACTTGAAATTAGAAAATAGGCAGAATGTATTCAATTGCATTGTAGACAGACATGCAATACCTTGTTCAGTGCATGAGAAGCATCATTTTAGGCGATTAATCGAATTGAAGTTGAGCTTTTGGGTTCTATGCAGATACAGTTCATAGAATATGGAGTTCGGCGAAGAAGCTTTGAGGCTTTCGTGCGGCCTGAATTGGAATAGGTTAATGGTGAGACGAATTTTATTCAGCTTTCATCTTCTATCAGTAGATGGAAGATATGCTACATTTTCATACTCCATACATACTTTACATCAATTTCTTAAATTTTAAGCTAAAATTAATTTGCAGCTTGTGTTGATTTTTACTCCGCTATCAGGTGGGGGTAAGATGAATTGCAGCCGGAGGGCACACGCTTCCTACAGCGTGTCCGTGCATCTTACCTTCCTTGGCATGACTACACCAAATCATTCTGCTGCCCCCAATATTCGCAGGTCAACGACGTGCTGTCCGTCTCTGTTGCATATATCCAATCACAGTTGATGAAATCCTTGTTCTTGGGAATTAGTAGTTGATAGGAGGAAATTTACCCCATGCGTCAGATTTGAACCCAGCACCTATAAAACTTAAGGCAAGCTTAAACCACTGAGCAGTTGCTCCCTTCTGAAAGACTAATGTAAGACTTCACTGGCAGGAAAAAATTATCGCGTCAAAAACGACCATCCCTTAAGCTCCTTCTTCAATGGGGCCGTTAAGCTGTGGAAATCGAGTTCCTCATACGTATTTTAGTATCATTTTTGTATTATATTCTAGATGTTTCTTTAGACTGTGTGGCTACGCTCCGTTTTATCATCGGCGGCAAATCTACATGCTGAGAGCTATTTCCGAAGGAAGATATGAATTTAGATCTCCAGAGTGGGACGAAATAAGTGAATCTGCCAAGTCATTAGTAATCTGACGTTTTGCTGTTACATGATTTCTAAACGACTGCAACTTTTAGATAGCCAATTTGTTGGTGGTAAATCCTAAAATGCGGTACACGGCCAAACGTGCACTGGCTCATCCTTTCTTCCAGCAAGCCGTGGTATGTACATCTGTCAGAAATTAGTGACCTTTAGCATTGTCTCTGTATCTGTAGTTACTATCCTCCTCAAACTAGAAGATGCTAAAAGTTAATGCATCTTTGAAGTGCAGCATTTAGCATCATGTAAGGATGTTGCCTTTCCCATGGCTATATTTTGTAGAGCACTGCCAGTTTTATTTTTTGTTGTTGAAAATCTGGATTTTCTTCTGCTACGTATGTTTGAAGTTTTATTTTTATATGCACAATAAGAAAGATGAAGCGAAATATGACCCGATGTTCTAGAGTAACTTCCGCGAGTGGGAGTTTTCAGTATCACCGGGAAATGTCACATTTTAAATACTAATACCAGATTTACGTGGCGAAAATCAGTTTTTTAAATACTGTATCCGTATTAGACGGTCATGCGTCCTATGCACTGCAGGCGGCGTTTAAATACCATTTAACCGTGGATTGCCTACATGGTCCTCTTGCGTAACTAGAAACAAGGCGGCGGTGCACTATTGCGGTACAAACGGTGTAAAGTAAAGCAAACAGTTTTCTTTATACGGAACGTTTTCGCCATGTAAATCCGGTATCACTATTTGAAATATGTACAAAATAATTTGCTAAGTTTTCTGATAGGATTCAGAACTTTTGGTTCCGAACTTCATAAGACAATAGATCAGCAGCGAAGAATTTCAAAATCTTGAACGCAGCCATATTTGAGGTGTTCATGGACAGACTGGAAATATCTGCGGCGTTTGTTTGCCTCCATTTTTATGTCTTCTATTTCTTCCTGTCTTTGACTCGTGATTTTCTGTTAGAGGATACAAGGCTTGGTGAAAGGATTCTACTATGACTTCTTTAGGAATTAATACGAACTCTGGTCTCTCGATCTTTCCACCCTGGTTTATTTTTCGAGTATCTTCTTGGATAGATTTGGCTTGAAACGTTAACAGTTTTCTCAGCATCTACCCGAACTGCTTCTAGATTTATTATGTCTTAACGGCTAAGAAAAGTACACTGTAACGTATTTCAGTATGGCATGGGAAGTTTTACTCTTGTTATTTACCAAACTGTTACTTTGTTACTTCTTATGGAAGTCAGACTAATTGTAAGTAAATGGCACCTGATGCAAACACTGCCTTTTTCTTCCTTGACTACGGATCTCATTTCCAATGTTGAAGAGCAACCGTTTTTCTTAGTTCAATGAGAGTTCTGCCTTCGCCATCATAGCGCCCACTAAGGGCAGATTATGGGCGTCACCAATCAGTGTACTCTGTCAGGCTTACCATTTGTGGATTAATTAAGCGCCGGCATCGCCAGATGCCACTGTATGTTAGTGCAGTTGTTCTGATGCTGACTAGACTACTAACCTGTATCGCTGGATACCAGGCGAGGAAATCAAATAAGAATAAGTGCTGAAAGATGAGTAAGAATTTTAATCCTTTATACAGTGGGATTGTTCTTCACTGTAAAATAACAAAGTAATGAACCAAAGAAATATGAGCATAAAATGGATTTGTTTTTATTGCTTTGAACCTGAATATTTTACATGTTTTACAGAAAGACACTGAATGCCGAGCAGTGGAAGGGTAGGACCGATCGACTAGACAGTTCTAAAACTTTCATGTATTTCTCGCAATATATGTCTTGTTAAATGGTACCTGTTTTCGTTGGAGTCAGAAAAAAATGTATAAAATAGGCTGTATGTAAATTAGCGTGGTTGGTTTTATCGAAATGAATTTTAGATTTATAAATTTAGTTTTCTCGTATTCTAAATATTTTTTGTTTCTATTTTTTCGCGTTTTAGTACCTTTCTTACTCACGATTTTAACCAATTTAGCCCGAGGAGCTATTGGAGTTGGCTAAAACCTTTGATGCAAAGAAGAAGTTTAGGGTAAGTCTGGAACTGCTCGGTCGTGTTTTATTCCACTACTTTGTAATGCGTTGTGCGTTTTTTAATGATTCGTTTTTTATGTGTGAATCATACGGTTATTGAAACGATAGAATAGTGATCACTAGATAAGAAACGTCTAAGCATATTCTAATAGTGTCAACGTTAGAATAATTGTTGTTTAATTGGCTTCAGGAATAACTACATAAACAAAAAGATTAATCGCTGCTCAATAAAAAATGGAAGCGATGAATTTTTTAGTATGCCTTCGTCTAACAGCCAATGCTAAAGTGTGACGACGATTGTTTAACACCAGAAGATTTTCCTATTACCGATATCTATTTGAATGTACTCATTTGATCTGTAGGAGAGGAATATTGCTAATACTTGTACTTTTGCGAATCACGCGTTTTTATTGCTTCGCAGCAGAATTTGCAATGGGCTGTGTTTCAAATGACTATGTTAAACTACACCAGTTCGACAGACGAGGAAAAGTGAAGTTGATACACCGCATATTTCCAGCCTATAACTGAATGATTACTTATAACAAAATTTTTTTCATTCATGTGATAGGTAAAACCTGGAAAAATCTTATGATCCAAATTTTTTGACCGTACCTAAGATTTACATAAATTTTGTTCCGGAAACGTTTCAGCATAAATTCTGAATTATTTTTAAAGAAAATTTTTTTAAACAACTGACTGACACGAAATAGCGCAGCCACCAAAAATCACTTAGAACTTTCAGGACTTCATTCACTCGAACGGTAGATATTTCCAAAGTGCAAATGAGCCCAGGCTCAGGTCAATATGATCTATGTAAGATGCAAGCCAGCTCTACCTTCCAATGCTGTTGCCAAATTTTGCTAGAAAACCTATCTGCATAAGCCAATCTCATTTCGTCTAGTGAACGCAACAGCTGCGGCAAAAACAATTAATTGATCCTTCTTCATAATTAACAGGCATCACCATTGCCTAGTCTCGCAGCTCTGATTTGTCTGTCTCGTATAATTTGTCGTCACAAATTTGTATATCTCTACCTTAGCTTATCGTCCCGTCTGAACCGAGTTCTTGCATTTGGGCGCTTGCAACCATTTGGGTACCAATCAGTAACTGCTGAAGTCCATCGATAATCCATCAAGCATGCGATGTTGTCTGGCGTAATCAGACTCGAACTGCACATAGGTGACTGGGAACCATTCTTGTTTGTGCTTTTTATTCCATTCAATCTTGACAAATGGCTTTGACTGCTCTCCGTGCTTGTCAGATATTTTGCACAGAACGTTCATTTGCTGTTCACCTCAGCTGGATTAAGGTTTCATGCCGCTGCTCTGTGAGTCTTGTCTCGTTCAGAGTGCTCCTAATTGAGCTCAGGCACAGCCACCTCCTCTCTGATCGTTTTTCCTACGTACGAAGGAGCAGTCACTAAGTTCGCAGTAGTAGACACGTAGACGAAGCGTTATTTTACAATAATGGATTTTTTTATTTTAAATTTTACTGCGAATTATTCTCAGCCAAATGTGTTGATGTTATGAGTACAATGCTAAATTGTTTGTCTAACCATCTAGTTCCGTTTCGTTAAATTTGTTTATTCGTTCTTAAATTTAAAAAATTTTTCATTTCGACAGTTTCAAATTAATAACGCTTCACTGTATTAGCAAATTTTTTGGAATTCCATGTAAAATGATGTTTTAGCACTGAGTCAGTTTCTGAAGTACTGCTTCAAGATTTCTATTTTCCTTTGCTTGTTTTTATCGACTGTTTAACCGTTTATTTCTGAAGTGCTGTTTTTCCATTTGTGAGGTTATAAGTACATTGGTAATGTTCCGTTAGAAATATTGTTGATGTGCCTGTCGTTTTCTGATTGTTGTCTTTTGTTTAAGCTGGCCATTGTGCAGGTGCGACTTTTGGTGCGTCTGCTGCGGATCCGCTACGTGCCGATGCTCGTGTCGTTTCAGGCCGTGCAGAGCAACCCCTATGCCACTCGTAAGATTCGCAAGCAGATCGACGCATTGGCGTTTCGAGTGTACGGTCACTGGGTGAAAAAGGGCCGCGAACAATTCAGGGACGCTTTATTCGCCAACGTCGTCAAGACCGAAGTAGAACGCTTCCACGGAACCAGCAATTCAGGCCCGACCAGGCCATCATTGCTGCATGTTACTGCTTAATGGCGCGGTAGGAACGAAGAAGATCGATTACAAACGTCCTTGCCAAATGACCAACCAAACTTGTTCGAGGCATGTTCTCAGATTAGCAAAGCAAGACTTTTATAGGCTTTAATTGTGCTTTGCTCCCGGTAGCTTGTCCCTCCTTTCTAGCCATGGTTTGGTCGGGATTCCAAGTATGTGTGTACGCCGGGCGAAGTTCGAAATTTTACCACATCTTACCGTTTCACTGCTTTTCAGGTTTATTCAGCTGTTTTGAGCTTTTCGACTTCCATGAAGGTGTGGTCCAAGGAAGCTTTCTGCGTTGGTTCTCTTACTCCACCTGTTACTGTACTCGTCGACAGCCGTGCTGCATTTGTTCAGTTTCGTTTAGTTTGCAGTTTTGTTTCCCATATTAATAAAAGATTTGTAAAATCTGTGCTTTATACATCTTTTGTGATTGTCATATAATTCGTGTCATAAAAAAAAGTTTAGTGATAATAGGAATAAAGTAGTTAAGTACTCTTCAAAGCAGCACAATAAGTACAGACATGTAATGAATACCATTCTCTGCTCAAACGATTGTCGACGTAATGTAAATTTTCTTTATTCGTTTGTACGATCAAAACGATCTAGTTGAGTCTGATATAAATGTTTCATCCTTTAAACACCAATGATAAGCTCGCAGTAATCTGGACTACCAAAATTTCTTTGCGAACCTAATCCCATTCCTTGAGTCCATCCTGGCCTTGTTCTCAATGTTCAGTGATGTTACCAATGAGTTGGACTTAAAGATTACATTATGACTAAAATCTTCGTAAATACCCATCGCCAAGTGAATATTCAGAAAATTGAATGTGGGGGAATTTCGCTTCATCAGAACGCTGAAGACAACTTTTTCCATCATTCTACCTTGATGGTTCATCGATCCCTTTTGTACCTTTACAAGGTTTATGTCGCTCAATCTTCATTCTGCCTTTGTGATATGTAGCTGAGATTTGGAAGCTACAAGAGTTTGGTTTGGTAGGAACACTGGTCTTATTGGCACCTGATTTCTGAAACGTATTTGTAGGGGAAACAGAATTCTAAAGAAAACTAATTTATCCTAGACTTTCTTGCTCGACTTTTAGCAGTATTCATTCGTTTGATGTACTTCAGAACGGTCGAGACTGATTAATCTTTACCATCCTTTGTATGACGACTGTGTGCTAAATTACTCTCAATAAGAGATTTATTGATATTGATAGGATTTCATTGTTTTCTCTGGGCCTAATTTAAGGCAAATGCATGTCCAATTGATGTTAGCAATTTGAAATGGCAAAGACTGCTTTAATCATGTTTAACAAGTGAGCAGTAATGTCAATTGATACATGAGTTCTCATAAGCTCTGTAATTTGACAATCATGCAAAGCAAAAAGTTTCATTAACAAACGACTAAAACAAAACAGTCTGAAAGTATCGAATACTATTCCAATATTCTTCATCAGAGCCAGTAGTATGAATCGCACTGATTGAACGGCGTACTCTTTCCTAACTGTGTTGATACACACTTGTTGCATTTATGCTTCTTCATAGCGTTGCTTTTATTTCCATTCATCATAATGGAGGTTATTCCTTTTGGTGATTTCTCGTCAGTCATTGTTCACCGCTTCATTCATGTGACTGATATTCTTTCTTCTACATTTTATTCCGTAATAGTTGATCTTGAATTTGTTAGATCATTAAGGAAAGCGCAAGGTTAAAGCTCGGTTGCCTGTCAAACTCTACACCCATAACGTCAAGTACTCTTAGCAGTGTGGCGTGGCGGCATACTTGATATCTCCCGACAAATTCAACTGATAACATCAATCAATCACGTACAAGAATTTCCGGCACGTCGGCACTTTAACGCTATGATAAGAACGTTAATTGAAAGATAAAGTTTGAATTCTTGAAGCTCGTTTGCCTTCTGGCGCAAGGCCAGGAGCAAACTAACGTGAGATTGATTGTCAGGTCCATGGCCTGGAAGATATCGTCTGATCCTGCATTCATTAGCGCCCCTTTGAGAGTCACAAAAATACGAAAGAGTCGTCCCTCTGTACTAAATGTGCTAATGATAAAGTGTAATTGTACGAGTATCATTATGAAGCTTCATTCGAGTCGCACAGAGGAGTAAAATACTTTTCAATTTTTGCTTTTTTTCTCTGTAATACAGGTTTAATTCTTCCCCGTATGTTTCCTGATGTGAGCCAATTATTGGTCGGTTATTCCGTGTTTGTCTGTTACACCTTGTGTTTATTATTACACTGGATAGTCAGCTATCAGATGGATCAAGGCGAAGTGCAGCTGCAAGGGGCGCTCAC